ACGGCAAACAACAACAACAACAAGTAAAAGTTGGTTGAAAGACTAAACTGACACTTTTAACTAGAAGGAGCCTCATCATCTTCTCTTTTCTTCTTCCCCTACTGAGTCCATTTCCTCCTCACTTCTGTGCCCAGTGTTTACCAGTTTTCGCAGCTCAAGATCTCAGAATTGGTCTCATTGGCCTCTGATTCAGTAAGTCTCAGGCCTGTTTTACCTGTGTCTCTTGCCTCTGTGTCCTTCCTTCCATCCCCAAGGCCCCTTCTAACTCAGATAGATGGACAGATAGATAGATAGATAGATAGTTAAGAGTAAGATAGATGGATAAACTGCCATTGAGTTGATTCTAACTCATGCCGACCTTACTTTACATACAACAGAATGAAACATTGCCTGATCTTACATTATCCTCAAGATTGCTGGCAATGTTGGATTAGAGCGCTTCACTGTGGCTGTTGTGCCAGTGCATCTGACCAAGAGTCTGACTCTTCCTTGCCGGCTCTCAACTTCACCACAATTGATGTCCTTCTCCAGTGATTGATCTCTCCTGTTTGAGGTGTCCAAAGCAAGCCAGTTGGACAGTGCTCTGTTGTGATCCATAATATTTTCATTGGCTAATTTTTGGGAGTAGATTGCCAGGCCTTTCTTCCTGTTTGTCTTAGCCTGGAAGCTCTGCTGAACCCTATTTACCATGGGTGGCCCTGATGGTATTTGAAATACCCGTGGCATAGTTTGTAGCACCATAGCAGCACACAACCCACCACAGTGGGACAAACTGACAGACAAGTATGCTTTTCTAACTTAGGTCCTCAGTGCTCACCTGGGCTAGTACCTAACTTTCTTTTACTTGAGTCCTTTAATCATTTTAGTCTTTCCCTTCCTCCTTTTAAAAACCTTACCAATCCTGATTAAGTCCAGTCCAGATATCTTAGTTGGGCATCAGGATCCTTTACATGTGGCTTCAACTTGTCATTCCAACTTTAATTCTTTCAAACAATCCTGTGTGCCGCCTGCCCTGGTCCAAGGGGACTTCTTGACATTGCCCTGTAAGCCTTTGTACTTACTTGCCTTTTCTCTGCTTAGAATAGCTTCAAAGTCCTGTCTATCAAAGCCCAAGTCAAATTCTGCTACTTTCATTAAGCCTGCCTTTAAGCTAGTCAAAAACAATGTCTCCTTGCTGTGAACATTCACAGCAGTTCATTTGTCCCTCTCTCGTGATACTTCTTCCATTCTGTACTTTGTGTTCTGATTGTCTGTGTCTGTCTCACTCTCTTAAAAGAGCATAGGCTCTTTGAGTGCAAGGAGTCTTCCTTATATCCCTTAGCACGGAGCCCAATGCCTTGCATCTATTATCAGTAATAGCAAAATAACAATAAACATAGCTCAGTAGTTTTTGTAAGAACTAATGAAAGAACACAATAAAATATTTAAAAAAAAAAGAAATAAAGATCAATCTAAAAATATGATGTTAATTAACACATAGGTGTGGGAAATGCTACTGCCTGTGTCTTACATGAAGTTATCTACGTCATTGGTGGCCACTGTGGCTACAGAGGAAGCTGCACCTATGATAAAGTTCAGAGCTACAATTCAGATATCAATGAATGGAGCCTCATCACCTCCAGTCCACATCCAGGTAACAAAATACTATTTTGAAAAGTACATGCATGGTACAACTTGTCAACATAGGGGATGGCTAAAAATGGACTGAAAATAGAAGATGGTAAATTTATGGTAGAATACAGATGTGTGTCATTAAAAGGCTCAAAATAATCATATATGCATCTAATTAGATCACATTCATAAGTATTTTCCTTGATGCCTTCACGTGACATACATTTTAAGTGTGAGTGGTTAACAGTATTCTTTGTTTTTCACTTACATTCATTTATTTCCTTTTCCTTTGTTATTTGCTTTCTTTCATTTACTACATGCATTATATAAAACACCAATTTTGATAGACACAGTTAAAAAGCACTACTTGACCTATCAAATAGTCTGAAGGAACATCCATTGATTGGAGTTCAGCAGGAGATTGTTTCCTTTTTTATGTATGTTCTTTCTTGGCTTCAATAACTATTAACCACTCATTCGTACAATGTACAGAATCCTATGTTCACCTTACCTTACCAGTAATAAAACAGCACATGTTGTCTGCCCATAGGAATGGCCTGCCTTCAGAGATTTATTTTATTTGACGTGTCTCTTTCTGAACCACTCAGCGGAAAGCATAGGCTATTATTGTCTGTTACAGTTATGCCATGTGTTTAAGTTTATTCTTGTTAGATTCATATTACTATATTAGTTGAATCATTTTCTGTATAGCATCAGGTGTCTTTGTGGGTAACTAGAACCATCTGTGAGTAATAACAATAGCTAACCTTTTGAGCATTTACATAGGTGAGGTGGCATTAGCTACTTTGCATGTAATGTTCTTTTCAATCCTAACTACAACCCTGACGGTGGGTATCATTTACTCCATTTTACGTATTCAGAAATGGAGGCTTACAAAGGATAAATAATTTGCTCAAGATTATATGGTTTGAAAATGGTAGAAACAAGGTTCAAATTCAAGCAGTCTGACTTGCACGGTAACCACTAAGCTATTTGCCTCCTTAAGTGAGCATTAGCATTGTCCAGGCTCTCCTGCTTTTAACCGGTGCAGCTACTTCCACCCCATCCGTCACCTCATATCACGGTTCAGGTGGAGCACACCTAAACTTGGTGTTGCATCTTCATGTGCCACAGGCTTTGCATAAGAAGAGACTTTAGCTGCAGGCTGCCCTGGCTCTGAAGACATCTGTGGAATGTGTACACTTCTTTCTCCTTTGCAAGAGCCCAGATGTATTACCCCAGTCTCACCACCATTTCTTTTGTGACCAGTGAAAAGTAATAATAATTAATAATAACAATACATGAGCTGTTAAGCTCATGTAGTTTATTGAGTTCTTATTATGTGTTAGGCACTATTCCAATAATTTTACATGTTTTAATCTATATAAACCTCACAATAATCCTATGAGCTAGGTACTATTAGTAAATCATTTTACAGGCCATTGAGGTACAGATTGATTAAATAAAGTGTCCAAGGTCAGCTAGCTAGTGCTTGTTAGAAGTGATATTCAAACCCAGGCAGACTGGCTGGGAGCCCATGCCCTTAACAACTTAACTATTATTATCTCACTTGAGCCTCACGTTAACTAACCTTATGAGTTAGCTATTACTCTGCCTATGTTATGGACAGGCTTTTCTTTACAAAGAAAATTCAGTATATGAAAAGTCAGATTAACAAATAAGAGGGCACTTAGTTACATTTTAAATATATATTTCATGAAGTGGTTCCTTTAAAACAATTGTTCCATAATATATTTAAGTTGCATATAGCTTGTTTAACTACTTGAAAGACAGTCTAAAAGGCAGTGGATCTTATTAAGTACTGAAACCCATGCCAAATTGAAAAAATCAGTCAGAAATAAATATTAAATTACAGTATGAGTCAATGGGAACGTATAATTCCATTTATAACATTTTGACTTATATTGAACTTTTCCTGATGTAATGTGAAAAACAGATATCAAACTTACATGGATGTGTTTTGTTTGCCTCTCATGGTGTTGACAATATTTTTGTATTGGCTTGTTACCAATATTTTTTAAATCTGGAGGTTTCAAAACAGAAAATCATGATTTCTGGCCTTTACAAAAGTGGACAATGTGGCAGCCTTGGACCTATATTCCTTCCTGGAGCTGAGTAGTGGCTGTTCCCTTTAGATGAGCCTTAAATGCTCCATGGCACCACAGTCTCTCCCCCTTCTCATTGCATCCCAGACCTAGGGCCTGTGCTGCTGCTGTTCTTACTGCTACCCTGCTTCCCTCATCTGTATCACCTCCTTAGTCCTTGAAAGCATGGTTCTTTATGCACATTAGCAGCACCTCCTGTAAAATGTCAAGTAAAATGTCAGGTTTGAGTCTGTCTTACATATGTAAGCTTAAGTCTGTCTTATGTGTATAGGTTAGATTGTGAGAGAATAGCTACTATTATTTATTATTACTTTTAATGTTTGGGAGCTCTGGTGGCATAGTGTCCAAGGCATGTGACTGCCAACCAGAAGGCTAGTGGTTCAAACCCACCAGCCACTTCTCAGAAGGAAGAGTGGGCAATCTACTTCCATAGAGATACTGCCTCAGAAACCCAAGGAGGGTCGCTGTGAGTCGAATCGACTTGACAGCAGTGAATTTGGTTTGCTTTTGGTTTTTATACTCTATGTGTTTTTGGTGAAGGTTTACACAGCAGTTTAAGGTCCCATTCAACAATTTCTACACAAGTGTTTCAGTGACATTGGTTACATTCTTCACAATGTGTGAACATTCTCATTATTTCCATTCTGGTTGTTCTGTTTCCATTAATATAGTTTCCCTGCCCCCTTACATTCTCATCTTTGTTTTAAAGTGATCGTTGACCATTTGGTCTCATATAGATGATTTTTTCAAACAGCATGGTACTTATAGGTGATCATTATTTTTTGAACCTATTTGTTATTTAACTACAAGTGACCTTGGGTTAGTTTTGGGTCAACATTTGAAGAGTTTCTACAGGCAGTAGTCTTGGGGAGTCCTCCAGTCTCAACCAGTCCACTAAGTCTGGTTTATTTTTTTAAAAGGAATTAAGCTTGTGTTCCATATTGTTCTCCCATTCTATCAGTGTCCATCTGGTGTGGCCCTGATTAGAACAGTCAGTAGTGGTAACCAGAGACCATCTAGTTCTTCTGACTACTATTATATTCAGAAAGGAATAGTAATCTCTTTAAGGGAGGCAGCTTTGTATAGTTGAAAATATGGTACGATATAATTACATTACATTCAAGATAGTGTTTATTGAGATCCTCCATTGGGAAAGATACTGTTTTAGTTTTTATGAAAAGCACATGTATGTTTAAGAGCTAGTCTGTACTGCCATAGAAACTCACAATCTAATAGCAAATACACATTATATAATGGGAGTACTAGACAATCTTTGGTAAATTCTAAATTAAAAAAAAAAAAACCTCACTGCTGTTGAGTCGGACCCGACTCATAGTGACCCCTCCTTGGGTTTCTGAGGTAGTATCACTAAAGGAGTAGATTGCCCAGTCGTCCTTCAGAGGAGTGGCTGGTGGGTTTGAACTGCCAGCCTTCTGGTTAGTTGTCAAATGTCTTAGGCACTTTGCCACCAGAGCTCCTAAATTCTAAATAAGCAAGGGCTATTGAAATTCAGGATAGAGAGCCTGAATCTAATTAGGGGAGATCTGGTAATTTTATGAGGTCCTGGGTGGTACAAATGATTTGTACTTGACTTTTAACTAAAGGTTGCTTGACTATTAACCATTGGTGTTGTGGAAAAAAGGCCTGGCAATCTGCCACCATAAAGATTACAGCCAAGAAAACTCTCTGGAGTAGTTCTGCTTTATAACACATGGGATCTACATGAGTAGGAATCAACTTGATGGTAATGGATTTGGTTTTGGTTTATGACAACCTTGTGAGGCTTTCAGGAGTAAGTAGGTTATGGTCTAGGCCTTAAAGAATGGCTACAATAAGAAAGATAGTTTTTCAGAGGGAATTTTCAGTGAAGGAAGACTTCACTGAAAGTGTATCCTAGTACCTAGAAGTAGATGTGAAGGAACAGAAAGTAAAAGAATTAAATGGGAGATAGGACAGGAATTTCAGTTGGGGAATATTATGGAGGACTTTGAAATGACAATCTAGAGAATTTAATAAAAATGGAGAACCATTAGAGATTTCAGAGCAGAAGCATCATGTGTGATCAGTTCTAGTTTTAAGAATAGAATGCCATTTAGAGTGGACTGAAAGGAAAACAGGGAGAACTGCTAAGACTGATGTAATGAACCAGGTAAAAAATGTTAGATGTCTGAAGAAGCAGTAGGAGTGGAGAAGGGCAGATGCGAAGAATGTTACAGATTAAGCAGCTGGTTGCTACCTTGGCTGACTGAATATAGGGATGAGGGTGAGAAAGGAGTTGATAGTTATTCCATCGTCTCTGGCTGGATGACGAGGAGGATGAGGAGCATGGAAGGAGGAGCTAATGGAGAGGGTGAGTGGAGAGATGAGTAGTTTAGTGCTTAAGTGTGAAGGACCCAGAAGAGCTGTCCAACAAGCAGTGGAAAATGTGGGTCTGCGACTCAGGAAGAAGAATGTGGCTAAATACAGAGCTCTGGGAGTTACTTGCTTTGAGATGGTGGTTCTGGACATGGGGGTAAAATGAGATGCCTTGGGAGGGTGAGACGAACAAAGGCTGTGGGCACAATCCTGGGAAGCAGTCTTAGAGAAGGAAGGCAGTGAGGAAGAAGAGTGAAGAATTGGAACAATTAGTAATTGTTAAAGGAGAAGAACCTGTAGAGAGCAAATGCCTAACTTCAGGCAAGAGGCTTAAGCTCTTGGCCTTACTTTCCAGTAAAATAAAGAAGTTAGACTAGATAAGCGTTATAAGTCCTTTCAATGAGAAAAATCTCAGGAAAATTTAAAAAAATCATTTCAACAATAGTGAATACTGGAAAACATTGTCGTTTCTGAATTCCGGTATTGCTCTGTTCTTATCACTCATGTAACTGAATATAGACTGCTGTGTACTTATTTATATTTAATATTTATATATAAATAATATAAATGCCACTGACAAATCCTCCTCTTCAGGCCACAGCATGAAGCATATGAGTGTAGGTTTGTGATTTTTGTTCCCAGAGAAGTGGATTACAAGGCTCATAGTGATGTTAGAAGTAGGGACACAGAAGGAACAAGGCTGAGACTGGTGTGAGGCAAGTGAGACACTTGAGGCACAAAATGTAAGGAGTCACTCAGAGCATCAATGCCTCCTTACATTCTGCAGCCTTGGTACCTCACTTACCTTACCCTAGTCACACCCTTGGAAAGATGGGAGAAGAAATGAAGTTGTGAAAAATCCTGGCACCTTTGAAGAGCCAACAGGGATGGATATGAAAAAAGAGGAAGAAAATGAGAAAAACTAAAATAGCTTAAGTTGTTGTTGTTGTTGTTGTTAGATGCCGTCGAGTCAGCTCTGACTCATAGTGACCCTATGCACAACAGAACAAAACACTGCCCAGTCCTGTGCCAGCCTCACAGTCCTTGCTATTCCTGAGCCCATCATTGCAACAACTGTGTCAATCCATCTCGTTGAGGGCTTTCCTCTTTTTCGTTGACCCTGCACATTACCAAGTATGATATTCTTCTCCAAGGAATGGTGCCTTCTGACAACATGACTCAAGTAGGTGAGACAAAGTCTGGCCATTCTCACTTCCAAGGAGCGTTCTGGCTGCACTCCTTCCAGGACAGATTTGTTAGTTCTTTTGGCAGTCCATGGTGCTCTCAGTATTCTTCACCAACAGCACAACTCAAAAGCATCAACTCTTCTTCAGTCTTCCTTATTTATTGTCCAGCTCACACATGCATATGAGGCAATTGAAAACACCACATCTTTGGTTAGGCGCACCTTAGTCTTTGAAGAGACATCTTAGCTCTTCAGCACTTGAAAGAGGTCTTTTGCAGCAGATTTGCCTAGTGCAGTATGTCTTCTGATGTCTTGACTGCTGCTTCCATTGGTGTTGATTGTGGAACCAAGTAATATGAAATCTTTGACAACTTCAATCTTTTCTCCATTTATCATGATGCTGCTTATGGGTCCAGTGGTAAGGATTTTCGTTTTCTTTATGTTGAGATGTAGTGCATCCTGCAGACTGTAGCCTTTAGTCTTCACCAGTAAGTGCTTCAAGTCATCCTCACTTTCAGCAGGCAAAGTTGTGTCATCTGCATATCACAGGTTGTTAATGAGTCTTACTCCAAATCCTGATACTGTGTTCTTCAGATAGTGCAGCTTCTTGGATTATGTGCTCAGCATACAGATTGAATAAGTATGGTGAAAGGATACAACCTTGATACACCCCCTTCTGAATTTTAAACCATGAAGTATCCCCTTATTCTGTTTGAACGACAGCCTCCTGGTCTATGTACAGGTTCCTGATGAGCACAATTAAGTGTTCTGGAATTCCCATTTTTATTGTTATCCATGGTTTGTTATGAGCCACACAGTTGAATTCTTTTGCATATTCAATAAAACACAAGTAAACATTTTTCTGGTGTTCTTTGCTTTCAGCCAAGAGCTACCTGACATCAACGATGATATCCCTCACTCTCCATCCTCTTCTTAACCCAGCTTATATTTCTGGAAGTTCTTTGTCAGTACTGCTGCAACTGTTTTTGAATTATCTTCAGCAAGATTTTATTTGTGTGTGATATTAATGATATTGTTCAATACTTTCCACATTCTGTGAGATCACCTTTCTTTGGAATGGATATAAATATGAATCTCTTCTAGTTAGTTGGCCAAATTTCTTGGCATAGATGAGTAAGTGCCTCCAGCATGGCATCCATTTGTTGAAGCATCTCAGTGGATATTCTGTCAATTCCCGGAATCTTGTTTTTTGCCAATTCCTTCAGTGCAGCTTCGACTTCTTCCTTCAATACCATTAGTTCTTGATCGTATACCACCACCTGAAATGGGTGAATATCGACCAATTCTTGTTGGTACAGTGACTCTGTGTATTCTTTCCACCTTCTTTTGATGTTTCCTGCATCATTCAATATTTTGTCCATAGACTTTTTCAGTGTTGCAATTCGAGGCTTGAATTTTGTCTTCAGTTCTTTCAGCTTGAGAAATGCTGAGTGTGTTCTTCCCTTTTGGTTTTCTAACTCCAGATCTTTGCATATTTTATTATAATAATTGACTTTGTCTTCTCAAGCTGCTTTATGAAATCTTCTGTTCAGC